GGGGGGGGGGGGGGGGGGGGGGGGGGCAAAACGATCGCATGATGAATGTTCCCGCGTTTTCACGGCGTTTTAATGACTATTTACCGCGGGGCTCGTCGCATAAACAGATAGATCCGCTCGATCCGCCGCAACGCCCGGCGCCGAGCCCGGACGGGGCGGTTTCTGCCGGGGCACCCGGTATGCGCGGGCAAAACTCCGAAGTCACAATCGGGACATACTTTCCGATTGCGAGGTCGACCCGGGGGGCCGTGTCGGCGCGCATTCGACGAAAAGTTTTGCAGCTCGGGCGCGAGCGCTTTCTGTCTTGCGGCGTTTTCCAAAGTACCGCGAGCTATCGAGTAAACACATCCGTCGGATCGACCTACTTGCCGGGATTTAGGGGACAGTTTACCGCGATCCATCAATATGTTGGACATTGTCTGCGGGATAAAGTACTAACGAGAAATCGTGGAAGGACGACGCGCGGAAACGATTGGTCTTGCACCGTGTATTCCACCCGCCGCAAGGATCCGTCGTCCCCCGATCTCGCGATCTGATTATATTCTCACGAGGTTAATAAGTCGGCGATATCGCGGCAGATCGATAGACGAGTTGAGTGATTCTCGCAAGACGGACGCAACGTATGCGAAAATAAACCGGTGGTCGCTCTCGCGATTCGAGCACTTGCCTCGACAGGATTAACAAGCCGGCGGTAATAAACGCGTGTGTGTGTGTGTGTGTGCGTGTGTATGCGTGCGTATGTGTGTGTGTGTGTGTGTGGTACTTCCGGTATATTTCGCCGATACATACGATATTAATATACGACGGACTGATTAATACTTTGAATACGGAGAGAGCATTTAACACCGCGGTGGGATTTGCAGCGTACCTGCCGGACTCAAAGTGTTAATTATACCGAACGACACGGACTAATGGAAGCTATTATCCCGAAGCATATGGGCATTAAATTAGCTTTAATAGTAATCAGGCTTGATATTCAAGCTATCTATTATTTGACCGCTTTCCTTAAGCTCCGTGCAAGATACTTTTCGATCCGAGACCGGTCGAAATGATCGAGAAAGACTACAATCGTAATGGCCGCGCGCGAAATAGTCGTCGTATCTTTGCGAAATACATTCTCATTAATGCGACATATGCGAGGATGTTCGATATTTTCTCCGTGGTGTACAAGTAGAACGGATGAAACTAAATAGAAAAGCCACGTACTATTTTGCAAACTTCGCAATAGTTAATGAGGAATGAATTATACGGTATGAGTTAATGAGTGCACAGGAAGCGGTGGACCGGACTCTGCATGGAGAAAAATGGCTCGTTTCTAAAGATCTCCTAGCAACGATGAGCAAACTGATTTCTAGAGGTAGAATAACGCAGCGAGCGGTATGTGACACGGGGCTGCGTGCTGAAAAGAAATACGTCTCTCGTTATCAGTTGGTAGCCATTGTTGTCAAGAGATCTTCAGAAGTGAGCCATTTTTCTTTATACGGAGTCCGGCCTATTGCTTCCAGTGCGCTCATTAGCTCATACCGAATAGTTATTCCCTCATTAATTATTGTGAATTTTGCCAAATGGTGCAAAACTTTTCCGTTCAATTTAGTTCCGTTCCACTTGTATATCAAAGATTCCGAGAAAATTATCGGACACTCTGTATAAGACGAGTCCTTTAATAATCTGTCGCGAAGCGACGAACGAGAATAATTTCATACAGACGGGCTTAATCGCGAGCTCTCGATTGGCAGGACATAATCGAGAAATCGCCGACTCGGGTCGACAACGAAAGTACTCGACGGCTCCTTGAATTTCTGACCAGGCGAAATCGCCGTTCGCCATTTCTCTCTCTCTCTCTCTCTCTCTCTTTCTCTCCCTTTCTCTCTCCTTTTCCCTCCGATGTTCGTGTTGTATCGTCCTCGCGAATCGGCGCTTTCTGCGAATAGAACGGCCGGCATGCTTTCTCAGCATGCAGCCGCGCGCTTTCGGGTAGTTTTCACCTTTCGGCAGACACCCTCGCTGTTCTATCTCGCCGCCACTTCGGCCCGAAGAAGAACCACCTTTGTGCGGTACTTTCGCGCAACGTCCTCCCGCCTTTCGTCTCGCACTTCTTTTATTTCGACGCGCTCTTTCTATCGTTCTGCCTCCCTCTCTTTCTCTCTCTTGAGTTTCTTGCTCGCGTCCACCCTGTGTTTTCTCGTCCTCGTTCTTCGCCCACCATCTATTTGCCCCGGAATTTATAAATCGACGGCTCCTCCTCGACGACGACGTTTTCCCCGTCCGAATGAAGAGAGGCGATACATACATATTTCCGGGAGCGCGAATTATACATCTCTTTTGTAACTAAGCCTTAAATTGAAATTCCATTAAAGTAGAGACTTCGCTCGAGATCAACCGAGGAATATGATTTCGTCATCTATACGTCCCCACCTCTCCCACTCTCCTGCCCCCCTTTCCCACTTCTGAAACTTACTTCGCGAAAAGCCCTCGTTCTCGAAGGCTTAGAACTCGGAAACTGTTCGTGTCTCATTTTCGCTCGGAAAGAATCGGCTGCGAATTTATAATTGAATCTGTCGTCGAAATTAAGACCGTGCGTCGCGGGCTTTTTCGTCTCGATAATGATGAAGTGAGAAGAGTGTCAGCTAAGGCGTGATAAATTGTCTTACACGGCTGCTTTATACGTACCGAGGAAATGACAACGTTATATCTCTCGCGAAATTCCTTTGTTCGAGCTACATTAAAACGGAGCGCGGATAAGGGCGGCAAAGAGTGAAATATCGCAGCTTTTTTCCACCGTGTTCCACCGTAGGACAGAGTTCTTTCGTTTTTACAGCCCGTTCCTTTCACAAGGTTCGTCCGTATCGTGCGCGCTGTGATGGCAGCAATAACTTAAATAATAGCGGAAGATCGTCGGACATAGCGACTCCGAATAATAACGTCGTTCGCTTGAACGCGATTCTCGTGTCGCGAATCATTTCGAGAGAGAGAGAGAGAATAAACAGATAAAGAACAATCAGCTCATAAAAAAGATGTGTCAAATCAAAATTCGAAAGTCTTGGAATTATAGAAATCATTGTTGCCTATCGCCTATGCACTGCAGAATAGTTCCATCGATGTGTATGTGTGTGTTGCTTACTTCTTTCTCTAAGCAATTATCGTCATAAGGAGATCTCTTTAATCATTTTGAACGATAAGGGCCTCATATTAGCATGATTAATTGCATTCGTTGGTACGTAACGTAAACGTATAAGGCGCGTATCTAGGTATGCATCGACGCGATATGTGAAGAATGTAATATATACTAAGTGGCGTGCGCTTGCAACAACGTTATAAATAAAGAGTAAGAGAGCGAGGTAAGAATAGGAATAAAGAAAATAAATTCACATTCTCGCTGAATTCCGCTCCTAGCACGAGACCGATACAAGTGCAACGTCCGTTGCCCCCGAATCCGCGTATCATCGGAGATCGAAGATTCGCTGGACGATCGATTAGTTCCCCGACGTGAAATCGCATCTTTTTCCGGCGGGTTACTTCGTGCGGGATAGGATGCAGCCGCGTCGATCGAGCGATCGGCGATCAAACACCCGCACATCGAGAAGGAACGAGGCAAGAGGAACCAGGCGCCGGTTCGGTTGAGGGCTCCTTCCGTTGTTCGATCGCGGGCTCACCCGACAATTTTTCAGCGCTTCTCGTCGCTAATGTTCTCGCCGGAGGAACACCCTGAGAGCGCAACCACCCCCCGACCGAGTACCACCGCCACCGACACATCGTCCGTTCCTCCGCCGCCCCCTCGCCTGGTGTGCCGCCCGCGCTATAGAACGAACGGATAGTCGGGCGGACGGACGGACAGCACCGACACGAAGAACAACCCTCTCACACCGCCACGCTTTCCTCCCTCCTTCCTCCCTCCAATGCGCGGCTGCGCACGGGGAACGGCGCGAGGCGTCGGCGTCGGCGTCGGCGTCGTCGTCGGCGTCATGCCGGGGGCGTCGCACCATCGTCGTCGGCAGCGAGCGTCTCGACCGAACGTCCTCGTCTCCCCAGGCCAGTATCAAGCCGGGACCCGTCGTCGAGAGGGTCGATCCACCTCCTGCTGCGTGCTCGCGGTGAAACGGTGAACCGGTCGTGATCACGAGGAGAGGGCAGCGCGAACGCGGGACGAGGAGGGAATCTCACTGGTGCGCGCGTTCTCGCTGCATGTCCGCGCTTTCGCCGGAACTACCGCCGAAGGTGGCGAGAGACAGACGGAGAAAAATGGAGCGCGCGACGACCGCCGGATCGATCGCGATATGAACGGACCGCCGACTCGAGGAGGACTCGAACATACCGACCGTGAGCGAGCGTGCCGCAGTGTCTGATGCTTGTTTAACCGGAGCGTGCCGCAAGGGACTGTTGTGTGGCGGGCGCCATTGAACGCGCACCACGAGCTCGGCAGCGGAGAACGGCGTCGTCGCCGCTTCCGAGCGCGACCAGCCGCCCCGGTCTCTCGCGATTCTGCGTCTCGCCACGCGGCGGGGAGGGAGGCACAGAGAGCCGCGGTGTGTGGTGAAAGTGCTCATCGCGTGATTAGGTCGAGGTCGTGTCGCCTGTCGCTGGGACCCTCCGTCCGGTGTGACCTTCGCCAGGTGCCGGAAATGAGGCTCGAGGTTAGGTGACGTCCCTCGCGATTCCCACGGACTCGCGCGCGCTCGACACTCCCGACGCGCGACTATCTCTCTCTCTTTCTCTCTCCCTCTCTCTCTCTCTCTCTCTGTCTCTAGCCGTGGTCGGGAAACGCGCGCGCCTGCACCTTCCGTTCGGAGGAGTCGCAGTGGTGAAAGTGTGTCATCGACGCGACGTGCTGCGACCCGAGGGTTGCAGCGCGCTTCGAGTAAGCGCTCTCCCCACGCGACACGGCTCCCTCGGTGTCGTCGTCGTCGTCGTCGTGGCGGCTGTTACGACGGATCAACTCACGGGGATTCTCCCGAGAGAAACGTCGAAGTGGCAAGAAACGCGGCCGGGAATCGCGTCGATGATCTCCTAAGGGTCGCTGAATTTCTCGTATCCTCGCGTCGTCAGTGCGAGATCCTCGTGCGCGGACTCGAAGGCCATCTCCGATGTTACGGCCTATTGGGATAAGTCGGGGGAGGAAGTAGCCCATCCAGGGTCTCGAGAATCGTGACTGTCCTGCGAGGCATTTCGAGGAGGAGGAAAGTCTGCCTGGCGAAACGTCGACGAAACGTCGATATGTCCGTTGCTTTACTGCGTGTTTGAGCGAAATCGACGATCTCCGTTCTTGGGAGTCGTTAGTCACCGGCGCTCGCGGACGAGAGGAATTTCGTCGAAGTATTTTGGAGAGGAAAGTACCGTCTCGATCTTTCCTCCGATTTCTTTAATTTCCATTTCCTCGTACCGACGCGAAGGTACTCAAGTAAACACGCAGGAGACACAGGCAACACACGGATGCGATAAGAGCGAGGGAGTTCTCGTCTGCGAAGCGACCGAGCGATCGCGGGAGGAAGGAAGAGGGTGCCGTGCCGATTCTCTCGTCATCGCGTGTTCAGTGCGTTTTCACCGAGTGCTCTCGCGAGGTGGGGATTCGCGGATTGCATCCAGCCGACTGATCGAACTTGAAATTCCACACATATCCGGAAAATATCAATTTTTACCGAAGAACGATCGACGAGTCTCGCTGAGTTGATCGTAGTAATCCTATTGGATATAAGAAGTAGGAGATCAGTTCACGTCCTCATTACCGTCTTCGCCGTCTCTGCAAGTCATCTCGAGGAGGAGGGAGCCTCGAATTTAGCGAAACAACAAGGACAAGGGACGAACGCGTTTTCGTAATGCGAGCGTCAGCTCGCAGGTGGTAGTCGACGCGGTGGAATCGCGGCTGATTCGTCGATCTCCCGAGAGGAAGAACGACTCTCCCGAGTTCGTTCAGTGGCAAGTTGCGAGGGAGCTCGGGGGATCGCCTCGTTAATCGAAGAGACGCCTATTTACGCGCCGGAAGAGAGCGAAAGAGCAAGGGAAAGGCAGAGAGGGAGCGGGGAGGGAGAGAGAGAGAGAGAGAGAGACGAAACCATCGGGCACGAGCCAGCGCGTACGCTCACAAACCGCGCATCACACCCACGCGATCCGCGCGTGCGTGCTCTCACGTGTGCGGATGCAGCCGGGTGGCACAACGTGGCGGTCACGCACCCACGCTCCGAGCTGCTCCGCGGGATGCGTATGAGCGCGTGACGTTATCGCGCGCGCCATACACACACACACACACACACTTACACACTCACACGTACACACAGACCCACACACGAGAAGCGGCCCACGCGAAACACGGCCGAATGGACAGGATCTAGCGGCCAGTTCAGAGAGTAATCATGCATCCCACGTCTTTGCTGGTGGTGCTGGTGTTGCTGCCGCTGCTGTTGCTGCTCGAGCGCTGCCAGCTGGCACGCTCCTTCCTGCTGGAGGGCTCCGCGACGAGCTACGCGCAATTCCGCAAATGGAACGCCGGCTTGAACGGCACCCTGGAGTTCGAGTTCAAGACCGAGCAGGGCAACGGGCTGCTGCTCTACACGGACGACGGCGGCACTTACGACTTCTTCGAGGTGAAGCTGGTCGAGAGCGCGCTCCGGCTGAGGTACAACCTCGGCGGCGGTGCGCAGATCGTCACGGTCGGCCACGACCTCGGCGACGGCCACTGGCACAAGGTGCAGATCAGCAGGTGCAATGAGAACACCACCCTGACGGTGGACGGTGTCGGCGCGGTCTCGACGTCGCGCGGCAAGGAGTTTGAGTTCGGCAAGCTCGCCGGGAACTCGGACGTCTACGTGGGCGGCATGCCCAGCTGGTACAACAGCAAGCTCACGCTGCTGGCGTTGCCCAGCGTGATATTCGAGCCCAGATTCAATGGATATATTAGGAATCTCGTGTACGCCGACGGCGAGAATACCGTGCCCAGGAGGCAGGAGATGAAGAGCCGGGACGCCAAGGTATGTCTCGCGCGTTTCTCGCGTTCGATTGCGGACCTTGCTCGTTCGAGTCTCTTCGCCAGAGCGGCCGAATTAACAAGCTCGTCGATTGTGTGCGAAAGCACGGAGAAAGAAAGCGTTCCCGGTGTTTCGGCCTACAATCGCGCGCAATGAAACGATTGCAGTCGGAGGGGTTGGCGCGCGCGAATCTCTTTCTCTCTCTCTCTCTCTCTCTCTCTTCGTGAGACGTCCGAATTACGTCCAGGCTCGTCGATTGTACGATCGCAAAAGCACGGAGAAGAAAGCATTTCTAGTATTTGCGACTATAATTGCACAATGAAATTATTATAGTCGGGAGAAGCTTTTTTGCATAGCAAATACTACTGTAGTGTTTCATGATAATAACATTATAAGCGTATTGCTACCGCTGCCCTTTTGTTAAAACAACAGAACAATATGGTCGAGAATAACTGTAATTTTAGCGGCATTAAACATTTTTTCTCTCCCTCCCTTTCTCCCCCATTCTCTCAGCAGGGAGAGAAAAGGGCGGAAAATCGAGCAAGTAAAAGCCGTGATGCAGACGGCGCGGCGAGTATTTCATTAAAATGGCACAACTGCGCAATGTGTGTAATTTTAATGAAACACTCGTCGTATCACTCGCGTTGGCTATTGCTCATCCGATTTTCCCCCGTTGTTCTCCCCTGTTTTCATTCCCTCCGCGAGATTCCCGCAGGCGCAGGAGTATCCCGAGACGTCGTGACACAGGCAGCCGAAACGAGACGAGAGGAAAAGGGCCGTGCGGCCCGCGAGAGATCGAAGGTCGCCGGCGAAATTGGTATAGGGCGATTGGCCGTTTACGAGTCATCCGACAGTTTGATTCAGCCAACGGCCACAAATCTCGCGGACGCGTTTACGGCGAAGGGGAAAAATATCGGCGCGCCGACCCGGAGAGACTCTCCTCCCGCGCGCGCGATTCGTGCTACGCAAGATGACCGGGGGAGCACAACCGCCCCGTTGTGTCGTTGTGTGGTTATATCGGTGCCGTTGACCGGCGTGCAACACCGCGCGACCGATAGCTGAGTCAGGTTCATCGAGAAATTCCTCCTCCGAGCGAAAAGCGCGTGCGCCCGGCGCGTCAGCATAAAATCGAGACTTTCCCTACTCGCGAATCTCTCGTACACAAGGGACTAAAAATAAACCCTTCCCATTTTCGGAGGGCTATTATCCCCCCCCCCCTGCTTTATCGTCCGACGATCGATACACTCCCTCTCCGTTGTCCGGGAGGGACATCTTTCCTGATTTTTGCGTGTAATCATTAGCGAACGGATAAGCCGGCCCTGACAGCCTCCGCTCCTTCGAATCTTCGCGAAAACGCGCGCCTCCCTGGCACGCGACGTATCAGTCGATCGTTTTAAGCCCGTGTAGCACTCAACATTTGTTATTCGAATAGGTTTCTTTCGCGCACGCGATCCACGGTACATTCCATTCCGATGCGTCCGTCCGTCGGCACCCTCCTTCCTTCCTTCACGGTGGAATTTACTACGCGTTACCGTAGAAACTAAGTTCGGTTCATGTTTCTCCAGATGGCCGTCCGCCAAGAATTCCTACGTCTACTCCTTCGGATATGTTTCTCGCTTTGTCCGAGCATCCGCGGAATCTTGTATCTCACTCCGAAAATAATCTTCGTGTTTAGCAAGCGCCAGCTCGGACGTGCTCGTTATACGCGATGATATCCGGTGTCGTTACGTCGGCCGGAACTCGCAAGATAAACGCGCTCGAAAGAATAATCTCGGGATAAACAGGAAATATCGAGTATTTTTAGATAAGAGAACATTCACTGAAAAAAGGAAAAGGGAAAAAGGGATCGAATAAAAGAGAACCAGGTCTCTGGATTACGCAAATATTTTCGGACAGATTGCAATCGAGTCAAACGGAATAAAAAGCCAGTTCGATTGGTAACCTGACGTAGAAAGTTCAACTACAACATTTTTCGTCAATCGGTAAAAAGTTAACGAAAACTCTAGTGGAAATCGACTAAAAGTAGAGTCAAGTTGTGTAGAAATCGAGTTGGATCATCAATCTGACGTAGGAATTTGAACTGCAAACTTTAGTCGAGTGTGGAAGATTGATGGAACTAAAACTCGACTGAGAATCGACTAAGTATCGAGTCAAATCAAATAAAAATCAAGCCGGAACAACAATCCGACGTAGGAATTTGCGCTGCAAAAATTAGTTAATCGGGAAAGGTTCGTTTAACTCGGTTCGATTTGTCTCGACGGATCGTTTTTTTTTTTCATAACGCATAATCAAGGGAGTAACTTCGCTAGCTCGTAGACTCGGCGCGTTTCGTACAGCACGCGCGATCACAGTTTGAGTAGGATATCGTATTCGTAAATTTAGTCACCTCGCTGCTCGATTGGCCACACGTGGTTACGACGGGCGCGTATCCGCTCGCGATTAGATAAGGCGACAAATCGAGAATATCCGTCAGGAGGATCGTCGTGCGATTACCGGTGCAACGATGTAACTCGGTCGACATTATCGTCCTCCGTACATCTATACGGGACATCGCCGCAACACGGATAGATAACCTAGATTTATCAACGTGCAAGAAATTGGGCGGTGTTATTGCCGTTTAATTTCTATTCTTCTTTCTATTTTGCCCGGTAATTCTACGCTTATTAATTGATAAGAAGAGGAGGAGGGAGGGAGAAAGAGAGAGGGAGAGAGAGAGAGAAAAGAAATGTGACCGAAACGCGAGATATAACTATCGTTTTTGTACAAAGTGTTTTTTATTTTTTCTCTTTTTTTTTTAGAACGAACGAACGAATGAATGTTCTCTCGTATTATTCTCGCATTATTCGAGCGGAAAAGATAAACCCCCGAAATGAGAAACGGTCTGCCGTGTCTCTGGCAGAAAATCGCCATTTCCGCCTCGTTACTGATTGCTTCGTATTAATATTCGCCTCTCTGTCGTCGTTAACATCGTAATGTACGTACTGCACGAGAAGCGATTATCGCGCCGGCCGGTGAATAAGCGCGATCGCGACCGGGCCGCTACAAATGGCTACCGTGGAAAAAGCGAGCAATTAGTCGTAGGAAGCAATTATTTCGTACCTGTTACACCCTCGGCGCGACTGTATCGCGTACAAAATGAATTACATAAACAGCCGACGGACGGACGGGGAGAATTGGGGTTGTGATTCGACGAAAGGGATAAAAATCGCGGCGACAACGCGCGTGTGCTGTGCTTCTCCCTATTTTTTCTTCCCCTCCCATTTAATAACGTTCCCTGTCTGCGGCTGCGGAAAGACTGTTTTCTCTGACGCTTCCGTTTTTGAACGTCGGCTGCTGATATCGTTGTTAATCTTCGTTGATCACTCGAGATGACAAGCTATGGTAATCGCGAATCTACTTAATGCGCCTCTGGCATTGTGCCCACGCGATGCTCCTGGCGCGACTAATTATCACGGTGATTTGAATCGTTGTCGGTGCGCGCAAGTGCCGATACACGGTCAAATGGTTCGAGGAACTCTTACATCGGGGATTGTTTTCCTGGATAGAAAATCACGATATCAAACAAAAATCAAGTTAATTCACAAAATTTCTCGCTCGTCCGTTTTCGGGATTTTTCATTTTTCCTCCGCCGTATGTGTCCCATTTCCTTCTGTTTTCCGTGCAAACTTATCACAAAGGACTCAAACGTCAGCGCATAATCACCAGAGATGCGAATCTATATTCAAAATAAATTTGTACGGAAACTAAGGAAACTTAAATTTCGAGCGCTCAATCAAAGCGATAGCTGGGGCTTGTCGACAGTTATGCTTCCCATTCCTTCAACGGGAGTTAAAGTAATTTCCGGCCGCAATGACATTCGGCCGAACGCGTGCGCGTTAGCTGGAACGCTCAGTGCGCGATAATTAATCGAGAAACTCGTTAATGAAGGTGGTTAAACGAAAATTCACGTCCCGAGGTGAGTTTCGTATGCTCGCGTGCGCGTTTGTGGAAAATAACGAAACGCATATTGAGACGGCACGTTAACGAGCGAACACACGTACATACGGATAAACGTCGTGTTCTCTTGCGTATAAAAAGAACACAGAATCGCGAGAGGGGAAGGGGGTGCGTGGAATTTTGTGTAGCGCGAAGTTAGGTGTTCCTGTAACAATTCAAGCTTAGTCCATTTTTATTGCGCGTCCGTTTCCCGGCTAATCCGCTCTCCCGAGTCTCTCCATTAAATAAGAACTATTTTTACGTATTTATTAACGTTATCATTACATCATTTGTCATCGCACGCTCTGACAACTACTTGAGCGGATATATATTTTATGCCGCAAGCTTGGTATACTTGCGTGACGTGGATCCTCTTTTCGAGTTTGACACATGACGGAGGACCGCCTCGAAGAGACTCGTGATAATTGGCTTATATTTCTCCGGATTCTCCACTGAGAAAAAAAGGCTTAGAAATTTATTTGTGAAATATAAGATTTATTTCACAAAAACGTTTATTTCAAATGCGGTGAAATGAAATTTTATTCCTACACGAAAGAAAAATCTGATTGCATTAGCCAGAAAAGGAACGACCATTTCTGATTCTTATGACCCAAAAGTGATTTTTATAACCAAAAATTATTATTTATTTATTTATTAGAAAAAATATGTAAATAAATATATATTTACATAACATAAATAGGTAAACAAATAATCATTACTATATCATCAATGAAATATCTGCGCGCTGCAAATCCAACTGTAACGGTGCACGGCGCAGTTGGGCATAATTTTTTGCTGCCATTGAAACGCACTTTCGTCTTTAACGGTACGCACAGGTCGCGCGGCCGTGAGCGTACCGCGGATAGCGCAGCAGCAGGCGTCCATTTAAATGGGCAGTTTGGGACACACATGCGCCGAGTGGAGTAGAAGCGCAAATGTAAGGGGAGTGGTTGTAAAAGTGAATTAATTTCTGTCGAACTGGGGGGTAACGGCCAGCCCGGTTCGCGTCAACTGCCAGAAATAAAAAT